CTTTTTCTTTGGTGACAAGAACTTCCACTTTGTGGTTGTGTCTTGATCCCGATGTAAGCTTTCTAGTGAAGTATTTCTTTACCTCTCTTACATTTATTGCAGAAAGACATGAAAGAAATTCGTGCAATAAATGTCGAGAGGTAACAGAGATGACTTCACACTTACGGTTAGAAGAAATATAGCAATCAGGTTGGACAGCCCTCAAGTCAGTCATAACATGACGACAGCTAACAAACACATCGTAAGGAATGAAGCGGGATATTTCAGCATAGTACGGCCGCCGAACAGACACTCTTCCTGACAATCTCTTGTGAATACCACCGAGCCATATCTTGCTCTCGTTCCCTAGTACAGAACCAGCGGAAAGAACACGAGTACATAAGCGACGGCAAGCTGGAAACAAAATATTACGTTAATACTTTAGTAAGAGCGATGGGGCTTAATCCTGAAATTGTAAAAAATAAAACATACCTCTAGATATAAGATCTTCATTTCCAATTTCTGCAGTCAAAAGCGAGTGGCGAATGATAGGAGACATAACTTGCCTTGCATTTTCGCGAAAAAATGGTACATCAATACCTTCACCACTGAAAGAATTAATCCATTGATCTAAACTTTCTCCCTGGCTATCTACACTAACTTCTTTCTCCTCCATCTCATCATCTTCCTCACAAAAAATCTGCTCTAACACTTCCTCTCTAGTAAATCTCTCATTAGCCGCCATGTTGATATTTGTATTCTCAACCGCTGATCGCAAGGCTCCTTTGTTGGACAACCGCTGGTCACAAAAAATGGCGAACATTGCCGATTTCGCGTGCGTTTCTGCCCGACGTGAATCGTTTGTATTCACCATCAGAAACGTTTGGAAATAACATTAATTTAATTCCTTTTGATTTATAACGTAAAATTATAAAGAAAGGTCATTGACGTCACGTTTTATATGTCCCATATTTAGTAAATTTGAGTTTAAAACAACTCTTGAGATAAGTAGCTTGTTTTAATTACTCAGTGTATAGGTGTTGAACATGCGAAGTCTTTTTCTGCTCTCACAGATTTGAAAGAGGTCACTAGCACATATTGCCCGATATTCATTAGATTTGTAGAGCTGTTTTTTGTGAAGTAATAATTCACGCTGCGTGAGCCAAAAAGGAAGTTCGACCCCAACGACAGTGATGCAGATCAATTTCGCCGCAGTCACAGCGCAACGTGTCTGGTCCTATCATAAGTAATTATATTCTTCACGTTCGTCGTTATGCCAGTCTCATCGGTGAACAGGAACGAATCGCCAATATGTCTTCTTCAAAGGATCCTGGCAAACAGTATAGTTGTACCCACACAAAGTTGTTCGTTGTCACATTCCTTTCGCATATATTGATATTGATAATTGTTGCTGGCATCTTTTCACTCTATGCCACAACAAATCATCGTCTTGTGGCAGTCGAAGATCGCTTAAGGGTACATGATGAAGAACTTAAGTCTTGCTGCCGTAAAGAAATGTATGCTAATGTCCAAGGTATAACAAGTATTCGATAGTTTAAAACTGYCCRGTTTATTCCAGAAGGCCAACAATTGTATTACTCTTGAGTATGAAGGTTTTGCTCTTGTTGTCATCATCTTAAAGTTGTCTCATTGGATTATCAATTTTATTCGAAATCACTATAGAGAAGGATGGTCTTCTGAGATTTTGGTTGGGACTTTGTTCCTTTTAGCACGAGTCAAGAAATAATATTTACACCTATATATGAATAGCTATTATTTATCAACTTGTTATTAACGATGTTTATATAATGCCGTTGTTTATCTCATGTACTTCTTAGTTTTCTTTGTATACTTTTTCAAAAAATGGACAGAACACGGTACATCTCGTCGCATATATGTGCTAACTTCTTCAGCATACGATAAACAAGTTTTCTGAAAGAAAACTGTTAATTTTTTTCCTATTATTCTATAGCGCAGCTTGAATAGACACTTGACTTTAATGACATTAACTKAAACCTACTTATTATCCAAAGCCATACACCTAATTGAAAAAACGTAGTCGTGTTCGAAAAGGTCACATCATTGAAGCTAAGACCGAAAGGAATTTTGAGTACCACTAAATTGGGATTACATTTGTATATACGGTGTACCGTAAAGCAGGTAGAGCTAGTAATATTAACAGCATGCTAGTCTTTGATGCTGGAGAGCTGTTTGTATGGAATTAGCCAAACTGTTTGTCTTCCCAAGTACCCTTTCGGTCTTAGCTTCTATGGTTTGACCTTTTTGGGCCCGACAAAGTTTCTTCAATCAGGTGTATCTATCTTTGAACATTTTGTTTCTTGGTCAACTTTAACATTGTGTTTACTTCCAAACAGTTCATGACGGTATAAAGGTCACACCAGACAAAGGAAATAATGGTGAGACCCAAATCACCAACCGCGTTAAACGCTCGACTTCTAACATTTCGCCAGATGTATTGGATTCAATTCGTATGGAAGTACGTAATCAAGTTTTAAACCTCACGGCCTCGCAGTTTTGTCAGGCGCCTGATAAAATGTGCGTTCGGGGAGCTCCTGGTTTGAGAGGTCTAAGGGGGAGAAGAGGGTCTCGAGGAAGAAGAGGTCGACCAGGTCCAAAAGGAATGAAAGGTCTTCCTGGAAAATATGGTAAACAAGGATTTCGAGGACCTCCTGGACTAAAGGGACAAAAGGGCGATATTGGAAATCCAGGACCGCCAGGACTTCCTGGACCGAAAGGTGATCGAGGGGAAAAGATTTCTGAGCCTTCTGCACTTGTGTCGCCATCGACACTGACAGTTACTCAAAACCAGACCGCTATCTTTCATTGCAATGCCAACGGTAATCCAAAACCAAAGATAACATGGAAAAAGGAATCTGGAAAGATTGATATTGGTAAAACCAGAATAGATAAATCAGGATTGCTTGAAATCTCGAATGTTGATGAAAATGATACAGGAAACTACACGTGCACTGCAAAAAATGTTCTCGGGGAGGACGCAAGGACAATTTCAGTTCTTGTCCGAGGTTGGTTGTAATGCCAGTAAAATTTGTTAAAGTAGTATCTTTTACAAAATTGACGTATAATACATATGGCTGCGTACAAAGAAATGTTAAACATTTTTCTAACTGTTCGTTGTAGTTCCTCCTAGATTTACGGTTGTACCAGAAGAATTCCAAACCGTTACAGAAGGAGACACTGTCAACCTGACATGTTCAGCATCTGGATATCCAACACCTGTAATTACTTGGTCAAGACTATTTGGTTCCTTTCCTTTACATAGGAGTGTGCAGAGAAGTGGCAAACTGACGATAAAAAAATTTAGACGAAGCGACGGTGTAACTTATCAGTGTAAGGCTGTGAATATCTTGGGCGAAAAGATTGTGTATACAACTTTGCACATGAAACCAAAACGTAAGTTTATAAGCTACAACTCCCGGGGGGGGGGGAGTTATATATTTGCTATACGGATACGGGGACATGCCGCTGGCCAGGGTATATGGTTTTTGACCTTGCTGTCTTAAACAGGGTATACATTTTACCGAAATTGTCTTAAACAAGCTGTACAATTTAGATAAAAGGTCGATATAGTTTTTTATTTTGTGTCTTTGACAGGGCAATATTTTCATAAGAAATACCGTTTCACTGTAGCACGATTAACGTGTTATCAAAAACTTCTTATTGTCTTTGATGGATGTCAGTATAATTGCAGTTTTGATGATTGCGGCGTAGATAGCGATTCCTTATTTTTCCGATTTGTCTTGAACAGGGTATGGATTTTTCCAAAACAACCACCACTACTACTACTACTGCTGCTGCTGCTGCTCCTGCTGCTGCTGCTGGCTGCTGCTGCTGCTGCTGCTGGCTGCTGCTGCTGCTGCTGCTGGCTGCTGGCTGCTGCTGCTGCTGCTGCTGCTGGCTGCTGCTGCTGCTGCTGCT